ATATGGGTACCTACAGAAGCCTCTAGAAGGACCCGATAACTTCAGGCTAGAAGATATCATGGAGGCTCTGAGGTGAGAGATCATAAAGCGCATGCCTTCAGGGGTGAGGTTGCAAGGTCTTTCCCTCTTCTTGTCCCTTCCTCTCCCTAAACCCACCTCTGCCTGGCCCGAATCCATGCTGGGATCTAGGGAGTGGGTGGGCATCACTGTGAGGGTGGTGGGCACGGGTGCGATGGGGATTCAAAGATGAGAAGCAGTCATTGCGTCTTCTGAGGCTCTAAACACTCCTTTGGAGGCTCCACATTGTATTCAAATACTGACATTGAGCCACATCCCACAGTAAGTATAATTTATACGTAAAAGTATGAATTGGGTTGGGGTTGAGTTGTTGACATGCGGTTGCCTTTTTGTAGACATTTAATTCATCATTCATTTCTATTTTGAAGTTTTCTTTTTATATATTGGATCCAATGGATCATTTTTTCTTTTTGCTCTCACATCTGTTCACAATCCCTTGAAAAGCCACGGTACCTGCAGTGCCTGATGGATGAAGTTGCCTCAGAGCAGGCTGGGCTGGGAGTGGTATCCAGCCAGGAGGGGAGAAGTCTGAGAGAGGACAGGTCCTCAGGGGGGGGCAGTGGTGGGAGAGTCTCCAGAGCAGGGGATCAGGACATGCCCCCAGAGCAAGTTAGATTGCGGGGGGGTTGAGGGGTGAGGGGAAGGTTACACCGAGGAGAACCTTACCCGAGTAAGCCTGGAGATGGGGAGGTGAGGTTGGAATATTGCCATAACTCCAGAGCAAAGAGAAAGTCCAATTTATGGCAACCGGATACGGGAGTAAACCCATCAGCTTCAGAGATTCTCGGCTATCGCTTCGGGCGGCAGGGAGCCAAAGAGCTTTCCTCAGACCCCCAGTCATTCCAGATTCCCCTACCTTGCTAGACCTACCCTTCTCCCTCTTTTCAGAGCTTTTCAGGAAGCATCTGAGCTTCCAGTCTCAGGTCAGCTGGATGAAGCCACAAGGGCCCGCATGAGTCAGCCCCGTTGTGGGCTGGAGGACCCCTTCAACCAGAAGACCCTTAAATATCTGCTGCTGGGTGAGGCCTGAGCCTGGGGAAGGGGGGATAGGCAGAGGTGGCATGGACAGCCTGGACTAGCTCAGTGTTGAATGGGTGGTCGCCTGGTGATTACCCGATTGACCATCACGTGGCTGGAGGGTTGTTACATAGCTTTGCTGAGTGAATACTGAGCTCTCTGGCTGGCAGGAGGATTTGTGTTTCTAATCTATTTCCTGGTCCCATAACCAGGCCGCTGGAGAAAGAAGCACCTGACCTTCCGCATCTTGAACCTGCCTTCCACCCTCCCACCCGACACGGCCCGTGCAGCCCTGCTTCAAGCCTTCCAGTACTGGAGCAGTGTGGCCCCCCTCACCTTCCAGGAGGTGAAGGCTGGCCGGGCTGACATCCGCCTCTCCTTTCATGGCCGCCAAAGCCCGTACTGCTCCAATACCTTTGATGGGCCTGGTAGGTACCAGCTCTTGGCTCTCACCAAACAGACCTCTGAGATTATCTCTGTCCCCTTGAGCCATGGACTCTGGAACCTTAATGTTTAGGCTGACCCCTATGCCCATCTACCCCTACACTCTCTAACCACCTTCTAACATTCCCTTGGGGAGCAGCTGATCACCTCCCTTGGACGCTGCTCAAGGCACAACCCAGAGAGGACTGGGCCCGAGAGGAGAGAGTGGTGGGGAGGTAGCGTAGCAGAGTGATGGGCATCCCTGTAAGAACTGGGTGGTGACGGGGGAATCCGAAAGAAGAGAGCGAGGTATCCAAGAGACAGTGACCACAGATGGGGGATCTTGTGGGAATGGAGTAATTGGAGTTTATTACAGGAGCTCTGACCTCTTTCCTATCCACCTTTTGCCTTTGTCCAGGGAGGGTCCTGGCGCATGCCGACATTCCAGAGCTGGGCAGCGTGCACTTTGATGAAGATGAGCACTGGACTGAGAGGACCTACAAGGGGGTGAACCTTCGCATCATTGCAGCCCACGAACTGGGCCATGCCCTGGGGCTTGGGCACTCCCGATATACCCAAGCCCTCATGGCCCCTGTCTACGCTGGCTACCGGCCCCACTTCAAGCTGCACCCAGATGATGTGGCAGGGATCCAGGCTCTCTATGGTAGTCCTTCCCCTAGTGATCATGAGGGTCCATCTGATAAGCATCTTCAGGTGTGAAGAGGCAGTTCTAACCTCCATTGAGGGAAATGGCTTAGCTTATTTCTCTTCCTCCTGCCCAGTTGTTCAGACTTCTATTTTCAGGGACTGTTTTTCTGACACTTCCACATCTAATCTTGCTTTGGGGCCTGTCTCCCCTCAGACCCATTCTTGGGGATGAAGAATGAATATTCCAACAAACCAAAACATGTCTCCTGCTAATATCAATATGATCTTGCCTCCCACCAAGGGAAACTCTCTAGGATTCCCTTTCCCCACCTCTATGGGGCCTCTGAGCCAAACTTACAGAGGAGTGAGGAGGTCAGGAGTTCGAGTTCTCTCTCTGAGCAGCATTACATTACCTTGCAGGCAAGAAGAACCCTGAGACAGAAGATGAGGAAGAAGTGACAGAACTCATTGTACCCCAAGTGCCCACAGAACCCAGTCCTATGCCAGATCCCTGCAGTGGTGAACTGGATGCCATAATGTTGGGTGAGGCCCTTCCCCTCCAGGCTGTAGGCAAGCAGTGAGGACAGCCTGCTGAGCTTGAGACCTGGACAAATGGGAATGACGTAGGGTCACAGCATGAGCAGGCAGGAGGTAGTGGGCATAGAAAGGGGCATGTGGCACGGGGAGGGAGGCTTCAGAGCCAAATTAAAGATGGGCCAAGTAGGCATTTACCTCAGTTGCTGTAAGAGCCACATCTGGAAATACAGCAAGATGGAGAAAACGATATCAACTGGATGTCTATTAGAGAAGGTATTATACCTGCATGGAAGAGTAACTTGGAAGCCACTGGGGTGGAAAGTGAGGTCCCCCAAGGGGGAGCAGTTATCTGCAAGGTTTTAGTTTTGCCAAGCGGACCAGCCCTCAATGGCTCTGAACAACAAAGGAGAGGCTGAACTCGGTCCTCCTTCTGCCTCCTTGATCTTACTGAACTACAGTTGGATGAATTTTTGAGGAATCAGGCTGTGGGAGAAGGGAAAGTTATCAGCCTGCCTGAGATGACCGTCTTTTTAATTTGCTGACACACCTGTGCTCTCAGGGCCCCGCGGGAAGACCTATGCCTTCAAGGGGAGCTACGTGTGGACTGTGACAGACTCCGGGCTGGGTCCCTTATTCCAAGCATCTGCTCTTTGGGAGGGACTCCCAGCAAACCTGGATGCTGCCGTCTACTCTCCTCGGACACAATGGATTTACTTCTTTAAGGGTAAAGGGACTAGTTTATGCATCGTACCTGAGAGGGCTACCATCAAAGAAGCCATAAAGGGGAGGGAGCGGCGAGAAGTTTCTGAGAGGGTGCAAAGGAGGAACCAAAACTACCAGCCGAAGACAGAGGTGACTTGTTCTTGTATGTTCTCAGGAGACAAGGTGTGGCGCTACGTCAATTTCAAGTTATCTCCTGGCTTCCCCAAGAAGCTGAATAGGGTAGCACCCAACCTGGATGCAGCTCTCTATTGGCCAGTCAACCAAAAGGTGTTCCTCTTTAAGGTACACACTTCAAATCAAGGGCAAATCCCTTCTTAGGATGGGTGGGCTACTTCACACGGAGAAGCTCAGACTTGTTTCTAAAGGGAGTTTTGCAGTTGCTGTGGACGGAGGGTAGATATCTGGGGTCCCTAAGCTGTCTCCTCATGCTCCTCTTTTCCTTACCTACCCCATGCCTAGGGCTCCGGATACTGGCAGTGGGATGAGCTGGCCCGAACTGACTTCAGCCACTACCCCAAACCCATCAAGAGGTTGTTTACAGGAGTGCCAGACCAGCTCTCAGCTGCTATGAGTTGGCGGGATGGCCACGTCTACTTCTTCAAGGGCAAACAGTATTGGCAGCTCAACCGGCAGCTTCGAGTCGCGAAGGGCTATCCCAGAGATATCGCCCACAACTGGATGCACTGTCGTCCCCAAATCCCAGACACTACCCCATCAGGTGGAGACACCACTCCCTTAGCCACAGGCCCTGACCACTCAGTCACAGGAACAGCCTTGGGTACCACTTCCTTGCCCATAGATATCACCTTGAACTCTGACCACTCACCCAGAGACACAATCCCTGGCAACGTCATCCCCCCAGAGGCCTAAGACCTCAACCAAATATCTCCTCACTGGACTGCAGGTGCTGCCGCAGGGACATGGACCATAGACCTCAGACCTCTTAATGTCCCAGCTCTAGCCTCCATTCCCCTGTGCTCTGAGTCAGCCCCCAACTCTATCCATTTCTTCTCATCCTAGATAGCACTTCTAACTGCGTTACCTACTCTCTGGAAAACAGTGGTAGAGAGGAGGTGTCCATCAGGCCTGACAGGAGGCAACAGCTGGGAAGCTGAATACTTGGGTCCTGTTCTTCCTAGATGAAGTGCAAAAAAACAACAGCAGCATGGCCAGTAAAATGAGCAAGGGTTTTGGAATCCTTGAGAATAACATTGGCTTCTTTATGACTTGAGCAAGTTAATTAACCTTGTTGAGCTTCAGAGTTCCATCTGCAAAATAAGGTTAATGCCAATCCTGCAGGGTTGTTGCATTAAATGAAATACTCTATGTGAAGTGCCTGGCAGTGTCCGGCACATTTGTGCTTAATAAAGGCTAACTCCATGTTTTAAGAGAGGACTGAACAACTCTTCCTCTGGCTGTGTGTGTGTGTGTGTGTAGCTCCTACAGTAGTCCAGTCTGCTAAGGGAATCCTTATCAGATTTTTAGTGGACAGAGAACTTGTCAGTATGGCTAACTCTTTGTTTTGGGATGCAAAAAAACAAAAGAGCAGCAACAACAGAGGCCAGACTCCCTGATTCAGTGTTTAATTAATGCCACTTTATTCACATGTTCTTCCTCCCTCTCATCATAGCCTTGCCGCCTAGGGGAGGGATATATCTTCCTTCATGATATCTTCCTTCATGCCGTCTGGGGAATCAGGGAACTGACTTTGAGGGGTAGAGTCACAGTGGGGAGAGTTAGAATGGACTAGTGGCTGGGACAAAGTTCTGGTTAAGGAAGAAATGAGCATCACCGACAAAGAAAGGCAGAAAAGGCACTTGTCTCCCATACAGCCCGAAGACCAGGCTCCTTTGGGCAAAGGGCAACACTCCGGCATGTAGGCCAAGGCTCCCTCCTTGGAGCAAGAAGCCAGCTTTTGGGGGAGGCGGGGGCTGAGCCAGGCATTGCCCATGTCCTTCCCCACATCAAGAAGAGAAAGGGAAGCACCACGGAGGACAATACCCCCACCTGAGGTAGGAGAAGGGGGCTGAGCCTATGGGGCCTGGGGGGAAAGGCTAATCAGGAACCCAACTACCCCCTAATGAGGAGCCTGGGGATTGGGGGATCCTGGAGCTCCTCTGTGCCCTTCTCCCCATCAAAAAGCTATCAAGTGCCCAGCCAGTGTGGCTCTGTGGTTAAGCATCAACCTAAGAACCAAGAGGTTGCTGGTTTGATTTCAGGTCAGGGCACATGCCCCAACTGTGGGCTTGATTCCCAGTAGGGGGTGTGCAGAAGGCAGCCAATGGATGCTTCTCTCTCATCGATGTTTCTATCTTACCATCCCTTCTCCATTCCTCTCTCTCTAAAAATCAATAAAAACACATTAAAAAAAAAAAGCTATCAAGTGCTTTAGGAGGCTTCCTGATTTTCTACAGTTCCTACAGAAACAAAATCCCTTATTTTACCATTTTGTGGCACACTGAGGCCGGTATAGAAAAGGCTATCTGGGTAAGAACCCGCCCCCCTTGATTTGGAGGGAATTAGGGAGTCGGTTACTTTAGGGAGCAGGGCACCTCTATTATTGGACAGACGTAGCTACTCATATGTCCATTCCTCTCCCCTCCCCAAGATTCCTCTGTATCTGTCTCTGAAACCCATCCCTACAGGTCTGGTCTAGGTTGGAGCACAGATTCCATCCCCAGGTCTAGAGGTGGGGAAGTCTGTGTGTGAGTCCTGTGGGCTCAGGCCCTGCCCACCTGGTGCTCCCAGGCCCTTGCTAGCGGTATGGGGGTATCAGTGGAGGTTTAGGGTCAGGTCTGGGTGGAACCAGAAGGTGTGGTGAGGGGTATAGTGGAACCATAGTCGGAATCCAGGTCCAGGATGGTGTGGGGGGCTGTGGCCTGGCAGCCTGGTCCCAGTTGGCGATCTCGAAGGCTCTGGAGATAACTCTGGAGGGGCACAGGGCAGAGAGGACAGAAGGAAGGGCCTGGGTCAGTCCCCGTCCCACCCTGACTATCCCCATGTGCCCTCTGCCCCATCTCCCAGGATGCCCCTCCCCACCACTCACTGGAGCCAGACTGTCAGCAGGACTCCGGGCGTTGGTGGGGAGCTGCCTCCGGTAGCTGCCCTCACAGAGCCCCACCCCATGGGAGGTCCGGTGCCACTTGGCCTCTTGCTGACGGATCCGAAGAAGTTGGAGATGCCTTCGCTGGTGGCTCAAGACCACTGCTTGGGAGGGGGTGATACAGACTGAGGGAGGCCTCTTTAGACCCCAAATCCCACCCCCAAACACACTCACTCTCTAGAGAAATCCATTTGATCTTGTTCTGGCTCTATCAAACCTTGTCTCCCCCTCATCCCCTCCTTCCCCCAGTTCTTCTAAAAGAAACCCTTCTTTGGTGTCTTCCTACTCTCTCCTCCTGGGCTTTCCTGAGATCTTCATTATCTTCCATAAACTGTCTCCAATAAATAACTTTCCCATTCCCCCTGACAATTTTTCTTCTCATTCTTACCCAGACTTTTGGCTCCTCCAATTCTAACTTCCTTTCAATGTCCTGCCCCATTCTCCTCTCTCCTCTCAAGTGTATTTCCCCCCTTCCCCTCCTCAAGTCTGGGACTTGGGGACATGAGAAGGCACAGGCTGGCTGCTTCTGTACCACGGCACTAACTCACCATTGGCGTGGCCTCCATGTTCCTCATCCATGAGCTTCCACTGGGCCAGGGCCCCAAGGGCCCCCAGGGCCGGCCAAGTCCCCAGCAAGACCCAGCTATACCAGCAGAGAGGAGGCAAGGCCGGAAGTGCCTGCAAGCGTTGGCCCAGCCGACTGCCCAGTGCCAGCCCTTCCAGGAAATAGTCAGCACAGGCCACCAGCACCGCAGCACCCAGCAGGGCTGTGCCCAGAATGGTGAATGGACGTGGCCACCGAAGCGTGAGCAGGGCTCCCAGCAGTGCCAGCCCCACTAGCCCCCCAGCCGGTACCCAGGCTGAAGGTGGCTGGTAGATGGGTTCGGTGCCCAGCAGGGCCCCGGCACCCAGGGTTAGGCCTAGCAGGAGACCAGTCAGGAAGAGCCCAACACTGCGAACCAGCATGGTGACCAGGCCGCAGAGGAGTCCGATGCCCAGCGCAATGCCCGCGCTCACCTCCAGGCTCAGCTGTGTCTCTAGCACTCGCTCCTTGTGGCATAGCAGAAAGATCACCAGAGCTCCTGAGAGCAGGCCGGAGAGAAACATCACTGCCTTGAAGCAGCGGTAGCCTGGGAAGGGAGGCAGGAGGCACTGAGAGGTAGGAAGGGCTGAGGGGAGTCCACAGGGATGACTCTGCTGGTGAGCAGAAGAGCAGAAGACAGGAGCAGCACACCCAGGGATCTCAAGGCAAGAGGCAGAAAGGAATAGTATCAGGGAGGGCAGAGACTTTTCAGAAACTGTGAGGGGATGGGAGGGAGAGAAGGAGATAAGATGGTCCCAGTTGGCAATCTTATCGCCATTGAGGGGAGTAAGTATAGAAAAAAGGTCTAGTCCTTCCAGGAATGGTAGATGGGAAGAAATCAGCCTAGGCTGATTCAGGTTACTGGGGAAGGGTGAAGAAGCCTAAAGCATGGATGATAATTTGGGAATGGAGTTTTGAGGTAGAAGGCACGGGGAAGGCAAGCGGGAATGCCAGGGGTCACAGCTGGAGGGCATGGGGGGCGGATAAATAAGAGCTGGCAAGAGCAGCATGGGCCACACTGAAGGTAGCATTCCCTGGTAGAGTATTAGAGGTAGCCCAGGAGCAAAGGAGAAAGTTAACAGCATCCTTGAGGGGTGACAGTCTTGGGCAGCTGCCCCCCAGAACCTTGGCTCTGCCCTCACCGAAACAGCAGTAGATGATTCCAAAGCAGCAGCAAAGAGCACACACCAGGGCAGGTGCCAGTTCAGGATTGTCCTGGGGTTCCAAGACACATCTTGGGTCTGGAGGCTCTGGGAGTTGTTGATTAAAGGGCCTGGGGTCAGAGGTCATGGCCAGGGGCAGCAAAGCTTCCTCCATGGCAGGAAGAGAAGGTGGTCACAGAGGGGGAGGTCAATGTCAGCTCCTCTCATCCATCCATGAATGTCTCGAGGGGTTTGGGAAACCTGCAAGGGAGTAGGGGGCAGCAACTCAGGTGCCCATGAATTTTGAGGACTTTGTACCTCTATTTCATTTGAAGAGAGCCCAATTTCAGGAGGGAGCATGGCACCACTGGAGTAACTAAAGAAAACTTACGGGATTGGGTCGAGGGGAGCCAGCTGTCTCTTTACCACCCTCTGCAACAAGGACACTAACTAAAACATACATGAAAATCTTATAAGGGGATGAACCTTTTTTTGCCCCCTAACTTTCCAGGGGGGGATGGGAGGAGTAGGAAGTCCTAAATCTGTGGTGGGAGGAGTCCAGGGGCACCAATGGGACTACAGCAACCTGTTCCAGCTGCAAAAAGAAAGCTTGCCCCCACCTGCAGCTGGGACTCAATATCACCACACTGGACTAGGAAGGGTGGGGTTCATAAAAGGGGGAGAAGGAGCAGAAAGAGGAGAGCAGGGTGGGGTCTCTGGACGGCTGCTCCAACCCCAGGGGGGAGGGGGGAGTGGCAGGAACTGAAAGAGTTTGGGGCAAGGAATCCACATTTGCCACGGTTTCAAGCCTCTGCTTCTCGGGAGATGGAGCTGTTGGGGGAGGGGCCTCCGGCCAGTCCAGCCCCAAGGACCCCCATGGAATGAGCAGGCACCTGGCCCACAGATCGGTTCTGGTAGCCTCCCGCTCCTCCCCTCAGGGCACTGGGACTTGTCCTATCCCTCCCTTCCCCAGGGGATTGGGGGCTGACAGTGGGACTTGAACTCGGTTCCTGCGAGGAGAACACCAAGGAGGGGCTGGCATGGGGGGCACTGTGGGAGGGGGGTGGGGTGGATGCAGCCACATCCCCCCAGCTGTCTTCTTCTGGACATCACGGTCCCAACAGGCTGGAGGGTTGGTTTGGGGAATCCCTGGGGTTCCTCTCCTCAATTCTCTTGGAAGCCTAGGGACCCCAAACAAGGAGAGGTTTGGGAGGGGGTGTTCACTACTCACCACCCTGCCAGGCTGAGGAGAGGAAGGGGGTAGAAGTGCTTCCCTAGACCCCCAGCTGCATCCCTGCCCGGAGGTCCTAGGTGTCCGGGCGGCTGTCGGGCGTCGGTACCCCCAAGGCCACTCAGTTCGTTGCCCCCTAAACTCTTGCAAGTCGTAGCCCAAGCCCCGTGAACTAAAAGCAACCAGCTTGGGGGGGTGGGGGTGGGGGTGGAGGAAGGGGACAGGGCGGGGGTGACATCACGGGGCGGGCCCCTCCAACTCTTCCCCTTGTGTGTGGGGGGAACACAGTTTGCCTACTGCTTGAGGCTGGGAGCGGAGACCCCCCCACCCACCATAGCAGGAAAGGGTCCTGGGTGCACAAGAGGTTTGCGGAAAAGTCTCTGAATACTTGGGCGATGACTCGACAATGGGAAGCTTTCAGAGCCCCAGGTGGGGTCTCGGCGCCCCCCTCGCTTTGCCTTGGTTTCTCCCACTTCCCAGAGAATTGGAGTATTGTCTTCTGGAGGACCGGGTGGTCGGGACTGGGGGTTTGGGGCCGCCGGCGAGGGGTGCATGGGTGGCCGAGCTTGCGGAGTCAGGCGCAGTCTGGAAGGAGGGCTAACGGGAGAGGCGTGTGCAGAGGAAGGGACCGACAGAGAGGGGACCCGAGCCGGGTCTGCGTGGGGGAGGGGTCGCTGTCTGCGTCCGCCGAACGGCTCGGTATGCAAATGAGATGCAAAGCTGCCCGCGGCGGAGTGCACGGTTTTTGGCTCTCCGCTCAGGTCCTGCTACGCGCGTGGTCTCCGGGCCCCGCTCCGTGAGGGGGCCTGGAGCTGCGTCCAGAGGGGCGGGTCCGGGCCGTGGTAGCTGCAGTTATCCGGGGCGGTTCGCCAGCTGGGTCAGAAGCCGGGGAGGCCGAGGGTTGCTGGGAAAGAAGGGGCAGTGCTAGGGGGACCAGGGCGGGGGCTGGCCCGGGGTGTCTTCTCTTGGAGAGAACATGATACAAAAGAGCCTCTGTCCTCAGCCAGCAAGGAAGGGGTCAGGGCGGTGGCCCCTCTATGCTCCCTAGTTTTGTCTGCAAGGGAAACAAACTATGGCTCAGAGGCTGTCCTCTATCTCCCAGTCTCGGAAAAGCCCACAAATCCAGCCAGAGGGACCCTAAGAAGCTGTCCCCAGACCGCAGGCGCTGCTGCAGCACCCACTTGCTTCGCTTCCAGGGGTGCAACTTGCAGGGATTCTACTTCAGCACGCGGAGGGCCGCAGCAGAGGGCCCTTTAAGGGGCGGTACCCGCGCCCCCCCCAGGACCGCCTCCTGATTTGACACGCTGCTCGCTAGACTGGCTCGCGCTTCAGCCAACCGCTTTTTCTTTTCCTTCTTGTCTCTTCCGTGGTGACCCCGGAAGTGAAAGTAGGCGTAGGTCGGCGTTTGCGGCGGGGACGGAAGGCGGAAGCAGAGCTTGAGCGGGAGGCGGAGCCGGGGGAGCCGCTCTCTTAGCTCCCCTGGCTCTGGGCCCAGCAGCTCGAGGGGGAGGAGTTACCGCCGCTCTTCGGTACGTTACCTTCTCCCCGTCTGCCCAGGCTCAGGGTTCCCTCGTTGTCTGTCTTAGGGGCAACCCCAAGCTCCGCCTCCAGGTTTTCTTTAAGGGCCGCAGGGTCCCCACCCTTTTCAGGCAGCCTACAGCCCTCCTTTCCGATCGTCTTTCCGTTTTTCCCTAGAGTGATCCCAGGACCACACCCTTTGCAGTACCTCCCTCTTTTCCGGATTCAGAGCTGTATCTTTCGGGAGAGAGAAGAAAAACTTAGGTGGAGTTGGAGGAGGGGGCAGGGAGTGGTGTTGTGGTTAAAGTAGTTATTGGCTTATCGCTAGAGGCAATAAATGCCCCCAAAGAACTTGGGAAGCAAGGGAGGTGGATGCATTCTATATACTATGTATATTCTCAATTTAACCCCTTTCTTGGACCTATCCTTGACCCAACTTGATACTTTGTTACAGGCATTAGAACTTACCATGATGGCTGTGACCTAAAATCTTCAGGAAGCCAGGGGGTCATGGCCCAGAAGCACCCCGGAGAAAGACAGTCGTGTGGAGCCCACCACAGTGGTGGTGCCTCCCTCAGGACTTTAGGACCCTCTCTGGACCCTGAAATACTTTCATTCTCAGGACTCAGGGACTCAGCGAGGCCTGCTCCAAATGGTACCCGCTGCCTCACAAAGCACTCTAGTCCTAAGTACACGCAGCCCCCAAACCCAGCCCACTGGTCGGATCCAAGCCATGGCCCCCCCAGGGGTCCAGGACCCCCTAGAAATGGAGAGGACCCTGATCAGAGTGAGGCATCTTCAGAAGAGTCAGGAGTGGATCAGGAACTCTCAAGAGAGAATGAGGCTGGGCACCAGGAGGATGAAAACCCTTCTTTTCTTTCCATTCCATCTGCTTGCAACTGCCAGGGAACCCCTGGAATCCCTGAAGAGCCTTACTCTGGGGGAGGAGATAACTCTTCTAGCAACTTTTGCCACCATTGTATGTCTCCAGCTTTAGGAGAACATGAAGAGTTGGAAGAGGAATATGATGATGAGGAACCCAAGTTCCCCAGTGATTTTTCTCGTGTGCCCAGTGGAAAGAAACCTCCACCCCGGAGACAGCGGCACCGTGTTGCAGCCAAGGACGATACTTGGGAGGGTGGACGCAGGGATCCCAGGTCCCCTGGTCGACATCGGCTGGGCCGGAAACGAAGTCAAGCAGATAAGCGCAGAGGCTTGGGATTATGGGGAGCAGAAGAACTGTGTCAGCTTGGACAAGCAGGTTTCTGGTGGCTGATCGAACTGCTGGTATTGGTGGGAGAGTATGTGGAAACTTGTGGCCATCTCATCTATGCATGCAGGCAGCTGAAAGGCAGTGATTTGGACCTTTTTCGAGTCTGGGCAGGAGTCTGGGCAGGGCGACTGGGTGGCTGGGCCCAGGTAATGTTCCAGTTTCTGAACCAGGGGTTTTGCTATGGGGCAGGGCTATTCACCTGTTTTCTTAGGCTACTGGGTGCTTTGCTGCTTCTGGCTCTGGCCCTCTTGTTGGGCTGTCTGCAGGTGGCCTGGCAGTTTCTTGTGAGACTGGGTGACCGGTTAGGCTGGAGGGCTAAAGCCACCTGGCTCTTCTCTTGGCTGGATTCTCCCACCTTACAGCGTTGTCTGATTGTGCTGAGAGAGAGCAGGCCATGGCAGCAGATGGTGAGAATGGTTCAGTGGGGTTGGCTGGAGTTGCCTTGGGTCAAACAGAGGACTAACAGACAAGAGAATGCACCTGTAGCTAGTGGTCGCTATTACCAGCCTGAAGAGGAAGTGACTCGACTCTTGACCATGGCTGGGGTTCCTGAAGATGAGCTAAACCCTTTCCACGTCTTGGGGGTTGAAGCCACAGCATCAGATGTTGAAATGAAGAAGGCCTATAGGCAGTTGGCAGTAATGGTGAGTATCCCCCCCCCCCACCCCGTTTCCTATCCCTTTTGTGCCTATATTTTATTTCCTAATTTTAGGGAGAGTCGAATAAAGGGAAGGCAGAAAAGAAAATCAACTTTAAGCTGAAGAGTAACTTTAATTCTTAGAAAAGAGTCATAAAACTTTTTTATTTTTAAATATGTTTTTATTGATTTCAGATAGAGGGAGAGAGCTATAGAAACCTCAGTGATGAGAGAGAATCATCAATCGGCTGCCTCCTGCATGCCCCCAACTGGGGGTCGAGCCCACAACCCAGGCATGTGCCCTGACCGGAATCAAACTGTGATCTCCTGGTTCATAGGTCAATGATCAACCCCTGAGCCACACCAGCTGGATGAGATTCTTTTTCTTAATGAAAAGAAATGAATTGGTATATCAGGTAATGTTGGACTCACTCACTTTGAAATGTTGAGTTGAAGTCCCTCTGCTAGGGTGGAGAAGAGGTCTATTCAGAAAACTTGTCAGTTCCTCTCCCTGAACAAATGAGGGGTGTTTCTGAATATAGGGAAATTCAACCATCTGTCCCAGAATGGCAAGTGTGGACCTAGTATGGGACAGTTCAGGGAGTGCTTGTGAGTGATTATTCCAGGACCAGGTGAAAGAAAAGCTATTTCAAGACCAGCAACCCAGCCTGACCGGCGTGGCTCAGTGGTTGAGCGTCGCCTATGAACCAGGAGGTCACGGTTCGATTCCCGGTCAGGGCACATGCCTGGGTTGCGGGCTTGATCCCCAGTGTGGGGCATGCAGGAGGCAGCTGATCCATGATTCTCTCTCATCATTGATGTTTCTATGTCTTACCCTCCCTTCCTTCCTGAAATCAATAAAAATATCTTTTAAAAAAAGACCAGCAACCCAGAGTGGGAAAGGGAAGGAAAATGGAATAAAAATCAGAAATATGTGCAAATGTATGTCATATATGAAAATATGGCCCTAGCTGGTTTGGCTCAGTGGATAGAGCATTGGCCTGCGGACTGAAGGGTCCCAGGTTTGATTTCAGTCAAGGGCATGTACCTTGGTTGCGGGCACATCCCCAGTAGCGGGTGTGCAGGAGGCAGCTTATCGACGTATCTATCTGTCTTCCTTCCTCTCTGTAAAAAAATCAATAAAATATATTTTAAAAATAAATTAAAAAAAGAAAAGAAAATATGGTTGCTTTTATTAATAAAAAGTGAGTGGGAGTTGTGATACACCACATGCTTGAGGGAAATGATTTAATACAAGTATGCAATCAAATTGCTATTAGAAGTTAATATTAGATTTCTATTTTTAGATGATTCTATTTCTGTACAAGTGAAACTATATTATGAATATAAATAATGTTGTGTAAATTGCACAGGTGGCCTGTTTGACTGAATGTATGGAACTAGATTGGTACAGTATCACAGTGTGCAGATTACTTCAACAGTTGCATGACACCAAAGGAATGGGCAACCATGGTTTCCATTAACCATTCAAGGCACAATAAAGTGCCAGTCCTGCAACTTACAAGAGGACTAAATTAATTTGGTGGGAAATGCATGCCCCTTAGTTGATAGCCTGGGATATTCTTAGAGTGGGGAACAAGTGCTTACACTCAAATAGTTACTAATAGTAGAGCTCTTTTCTCACCTTCATGTCTTTTTTAGCAGATATCCTCGTTTGTGGAATATCAATCTCCCCAAAAAATATCATTTTCAACTTCTTTGGAGTAGAGATGATGTTAAGTTACCCAGACCTCAATACCCTGCCTCACACCCCAGGAATCCCCCTTGTTCTCGGTCAGTGTGTCAGTGAGGTTCTTTTATAGAATCTCTCACTGCCCTTATTAGGCCCTAGAGCAGTGGTTCTCAACCTTCTGGCCCTTTAAATACAGTTCCTCAT